ACCACGATAAACTCGTAAAATGCATAGAAATAAAAGAACATAGAATTCAGACGACATTTCCTGAAATCCTTATCTAATTATTCTACTTTTTTTCAACGCATATTCGTCCTTACTACTTCTGTGTTGGTTAAGCACCTGCGAAACCAGCCCTGGTTTCCGTGAGGTTGTTTACGAGATATTAGAATAAACGAATTGAGATGAGTCAAACTTCATGAAGAATCAGCAGTCGTTTGAGGAGAATGATTTTGATGGCTAACTCCGTTCATCCGTTCATCTTTAGTGTTTTATGCGAACGTAGTCACAAACTATGTTTCATGAGTAAACGAAGTCGAGAAGACGAAATCTATAATATATTCAATAACTGAAAGCACAAATGAGATTTCGCAAATAAAATGATTGACCCATTTTGTGTAATGTATTTCAGTGCGATCATTTCCGATTGAACAAACGCACAAACTTAGTGTGTTCACTAAATGGTACAAGCGCTTACATGTAATACTGCGTTTTCCGCAACATTTACCTGGAAAAATTAAAATTAACACAAATATCAAAATTGTCATCTCTGCTTGAAGTAAAAGTCAGTTCAAATTCTGAATTTGATTTGAAGGCAGTAAAACATTTGAATGATTTTCCTTGACATCCATATTATACGTCATTAAACGAGTCATACATGTACGCATAAGACGTTATGAAATATTGCATCTGTTAAAGTCTCCTGCAGAAAAATGGGTGACTGCATATAATGCACCAGTTGACCCATTAATCGAAAGCATATTGAAATTCGAACAGATAAAGCAAGTTTATTAGCTTAGTATGCGTTTGAACACCAGTCGTTATTCATAATCATTAGAAAGTTTGACGACACACCAGTTTCTTGAACTTATCATCTCTAAGGGATTTTCATACTTCACATTAGTTATTCATTGATAATAAGTCAGAGACTGTAATGGGCCTTTTGTGATTTATTGCTACAAACTCCACAATACTGAAGAAACAGCATTTTGCAAAACATAAATTGACTGAAATATAAGACTGAATTTCACACAATAAACATACCACCTGATGCATTAGACGGTTTCTACAATTGTTTAACGCAAAAGTGAATTAGAGTCGACAGTTAAAATTATTCTGTTTCCTTAAAATGGTGAAAACATCCAATATGTTTGCTCTCGTAGATTTTTGAGATTATGAATTTTGTTCCAACTTCGAAACTGAAATAATGACATAGTGTTTAACTTGTTTCTATTTGACACAGGAATTTCATTGATGACAACTGGCTGTGACTTAATGTGACTTGTCATTTTGAATGTTTTCAATATGTCCACCGAAACACGAATTGGTTTCAATAGATTGGGGAACATTTCTTGAACTCTTTGTTGAAAATCCCAAAGCATAAAAGGTTCATCTTTTCTTTGTTTGATTTAAACATCTCGTGTTTTGGAGATGAAACAGTTCTCTACTCCTTGACCAGATTATTTTCACCTGAGAATGTTTTCACTTTGCATTTGCTAAATCATAGACTTATCACTAGATTCATATATCACCCAGTAAGCAACTTACCCGTGTGCAGTTGAAATTTGTCTGTATTGTGAGTAAGCCTCGCTTAAATAATTTTTGAAATAATTGGTGAATATGATTGAAATATTATTTGTCTACCACATACATTGATAATACTATAACATCTATGCAATTCATCTTTTAGTGAATCCAAGTGTCAGTGCAGTTTATCCCTCTCTGAAATATCTGCACGTATATATATGAAACAAATCAAAGATAACTTGTGAAATGAGTAATAATGTTGTAAACATAATAAAGAAAGAGGGAGGAAGGTTCCATACGACTTTCAATCGATTATCCAACACAATTATTGTGAAATGTTATATTCAATATTTGCGGTTAGCTGCAAGTGTAGGAGAGAAGAGAATATGAGTGAAGTATTCGATAGAAAAATGGATCTGCTTTGAACTCTATGAAAACGGAACTGGGCAGCTATTTCACCAGCCTGACTTAGGACTCTTCATCAGTACCCACCCACCGGAGTTCAAGGCCTCCTGTTACAAGATGAGCTTGTAGACCGCTAAGCCATCGGGACGCAATCCAATGACACATGAATTCCAACTTCTGCCAATTCACGATATAGCGTGACCATTAGCCAATGTCATCGTTGGTGAGTATTTGTCCTCACACTCGACCTGCTGTATGGTTACATTAATTATACACTAATTATATAGATTCTTAGATTTTCTACAACTTCCTTATTGACGGAGAATTACCAATGAAAACATGAAAGAATTTGTTCCTTTTAAAAATCAGTATTTTTTAAACTTTGATTCAATAGCCAGGAATATACATAAAGAGATGAGATAAGAGAGCGAGTCATGGCTCTTTAAAATAATAAAAAGTTTAATCTGATGACAGGATGTATCAGCTTGTCCTCTCGTACCCAGATGCTGATCATTTTGGTGTTTTCTTATTGACAAGAAAAGTGATAACAGTAAAGCAGTGGAAGTTTTCAGTACAAATAGTGAGATAACCACATGCAAATATTTTGGTGCAGGAAAGATAAGTGACCTCATTTGGTGTCAACTAAGATGGCATGACTTATGAGAGAGGTTTTGTGCAAACGCAAATATACAATAAAAACTGTAATTATTAACAAACAAGATTTTCTTTATCACTATGAGAAGTCAAAGATAGACAGTGGCCTCACGCGATATAAGATAGGATTCCAGAGTTCACTGAATTCTGATACGCCCTTGTTTGCACGTAAAAGGAACAATTTGCCTTAGATTTCTGAAGGAAACTGCCTCTAGCAATGAAGTCATCTTCAAAGACTGAACAACCGTATTTATATTTACGAAACAGCCTATACTAGTCTATTATTGAGTAATACAGAGGTGACCAATAATTGACACAGTTAGTCAGAAGTGGTTTTTAAGGATAGAAACTGTGTAACAGTCAGTGAGACAACAGAAGTAATGGCTTTAAATTTTGATACAGTGTAAACTGCTGTTGGATGAGAAGCAAGATAATTACTAGCTCATTATCTGAGCACCTAGTGAAGTCATGCCACACAGCTCCACCAGAGTCACCTTTTAAAACTATTTAAAAAGTAATGGCGAATCGTGAAAAACGGTATTGGTTTCCAACACTTGGATATGATGGAGGCTGAGGCGATTCGTCAGTATAACCGCATACTTTGTGTATAGAAAAGTTCAGTTCATCCTTTTATTCTAGTATATCCCTAAATTCTTTCTTGCTCGTCTGCTTCTATTTTCACGGATGAATTAACTATTATCATTCTTACATGTTTCTTCCGTTTATTTTATTCCTTTTCCTTCTCTTTTTCTCTATACTTATCAAGTAGGCATTCAACTGTCATGCCTCTCATCCAATAGCAGCTTATACCGTATCAGATTTAAAGCCATTGTGACATTGATCAACGCTTAGTTTTTATCCTTAGAAACCACTTTTGCCTAGCTGTATTGATTATTGCGTCTCCTCCTTATTACTCAATGATAGACTGTTTCAAGTGTTTTGATTGTTAGAAATACGTCAGTACAGTCTTTGAAGATGGCTTCGTTGATGAAGAGGACACTATTTCTACATGCACACAACTTCAGATATTGTGAGCATTCAGATTGTAATGCTTATATTCTTACTTTTTTGGTATTTTCAATATTTTTCTTATGCGTTGAGGTTTCTATCGCATTTTGATTGGAAGCAAGCCCCGCTCCCCCACGTTCCTCTTTCTTCCTGGTTTCGGGACTGGCAGGTAAATTGGTCGGCTAGGAAATCAAGCGAGGTGTCGGCTGATTCACAACTGCAAACCCAACGAAGCTTATGAAGTGAATACAAGAGTAAGACAAAACAGACTACCTATTATCACCGAAGATATTTCTAATTGTGGTGGACTGGATTATGCATCAGACTGCTGGCGGTGAGAAGACAGGAACTCTGAGTGAATGTATAGAAAGTGGTGGTGATGACGATGACCAACAAACAACAACCACAGGCAGCACCAACCACCATCAGTAGGGGCGACTTTAAAGAGGTTACTTCCTTCACTTACCTAGGAAGCATCGTTACAAACACAGGCTGACGAAATGCATGTAGATGTCAAAGCAGGCCAGAATCAGAAAGACAAGGCACTCAGAATAAAGAGTTCGATAAGGACATTCCACTCAAAAAATATGTTCATCACTTCTTCTATATTGGTCAGAAACATGGCCAGCGCGTCAAGAAAAGCATTTCCAACATGTCGCTACAGACATTTAAAAGCATCTGCCTTCTATGGCTCCATAATGAATATCAAATGACAAGGGAGAATCAGCAGCAAGAAACACTGTGGACATACTAACGCAGGAAATTTATTACAATTAGAAACTAAGGGAACCATAACGACAGCGTTTAGGCCTGTCACTCATCGTGAAAAATGTTACAAGCTCATTTCACATTGCAGCATGTGCTGAAAATGTCGTCCAGTAAAGGACAATGAAGTCTTCGCGAATAAACCATCCAAACAACTACACCGATATCGACCACGTGTACTGAAATTCTCTTTCATTAGGTCTAAATCTATTTCTTCTGAAAAGTACTTTCTAATACATATGCAATATGCAATGTTGATTGGCAGTGTTTAAGAAAACAAAAATGCCACACAATAGTACATACGTCTCATTATATTATCTGAGTTGAGATGTTTCATTTAATCATAAAATTCCTAAGTATCAGAAACAAATTTAACTTGTGCTATCTAGCTACTAATATAAGACACAAAATTCCACGTTCTTCCAACTAATGGAATGTAGGTCACTGACAGTGATTGTTATCAGAAAATTCCTTTACAGCCATTCTAGTCGTGTTTCTCACTTTAACCAATCTTATTTTTTATTGTAAAATTTTAATTGAATGTAGGAATGTAGGAATGTAGGAATGTTTCATATCGTTCTCCTTCATATAAATAGCATGAAGTAGTTAGTAGTATTCATATTCATGGTAATGGCGAAATTCATACTATGCAGCCTCTTCGTATTCCTCTTAATTGTGCAAACATCCCCACTAACATGTAAGTATAAAATGTGATAAGACCTTGTATTATATTTATGAAAGCACTTGTAGGTTTAGTAAATTATGCATTTTACTGACATGCTTTTTGTTACCTGATATCGAGATAACAACTTTAGCAAACTTTGTTGGAAAATATGACATACTAGACTGTTTCACATAGTCGTGAATTTAGCACGTTATCTCGACTGAAATTATTTCGCGTCACTTGAATCTTACACTGAAACATTTTCTAATGCTTAGATTGTGACTCAGAAATATGCGTGTTTGCAACGAAATTTGGGTAATAAAATATCAGTGAAAAAGAGCATTCACGGATAGTTTTTTCTTTTGAATTGTGAGAGATAAGATCTCACGTAATCTCCCTGGTCTTTCATTCTCACTGTAGCCTGATTCTCAATTATCACTAAAAATTGAAGAATATTTAGCATATCCCAGAGGTGCTGTGTTTCTTTCGATCACGTTACTTTTAATTCGTACGTGGATGTGAATTTCACTGATCATAAGCAGAATAAACCAAGGACCAGATGACACACATTTATCTCAATAAATCTCTACTGGTTCGTCAAATGATAAGAGCAACACTTGAGGTTCGAGACGTCTCTGACAAAGCACTCCTGTTTGTTCACTTATCCTCCTTATTAATCATAGAGCCACTTGAATACATAATGAGATTGATTGAAAATGGTTCAAATGGTTTTCCTACTAAAGTAAGGACATCAGGAAACTGTTCAAACTGTGATGAAATAGTCATGAGAATTCCACCAGGACCCATTCTTGAGAATTTATTTATAGAAAATCTTGAATAACAGGAAATTGAATCCGCAGTTGTAGAGATAAATCTTTGCTCAGGATGGATGGTATTTCCGACATTCGGAAGGACATGAACGAGACTTTTGAATTATTTTTAGCTATTCAGTAATGTGCCTCAGAGCATTAGTTTTACGATAGGATATGAGGGCGAAAATCACTTTCACTTCGTTGATTTATGTGTGAGGAGAAGAAATGATCACATAATAATAGAGACAGGAATATGTCAAATGGACGCCGGAACTAGGCAGACCTCAGACTATGCTAATTCTCACCCAATAAAGTACAAAGATTGCGGAAGCGCAGAAACTTAGTACTGAAGATAGTTTGCATGAAGAGTTTAATTCACTTTGAAAGCGATTGTCTGAAAATCGTTATTCGAAAAAATCCACAAGATAACGTGTAGGAAATTACGACAACGAAGACACGTTGCTAGAGACAGGAAGAAACCCGTATTTATCCAGGTAACCGTCACAGAAGATGGTGTATCACACAGAATAAACAAAAGACTAAGAGCTGCACCAGCACAACTTATCCGATGGCCATTTCCTTTCCTGTTCAAAGCACGAGTCAAGGTATTAATTAATGCGTGTTTTGTCGATGAGCATTATGTCACAACATTTCAAATTGTCTTAAAATGTTCAGATATCTAACTAGTTTCTTTTTGTGTCAGTTGTAATGATTGCATCACCACATTTCACTAATTGGTGTCACTTAAACTACGGTCCTCATACCCAATTTTAGCTCAGTATGTTCTTACTTGATTAATCCTTTGAATATTTTCGGCTGTCTGCAGCTGGAAAGAAGAAGTGAGAATGAAAGATTTCACTGGGCATTTCCGCTTACAGTATTATCAACTGTGCGATACATATTCCACTTAGGAAAAAGTTGACATGGCACTTTTGTAGCAACCAAACTTAACATGTGATATGATCACGACAATCCTCTACACGTATCATAGACAATCAACTACCTTGGAAGTCGTAATTGACTGCCTATGTTCCTTCTATGCAAGTAGAGCGAGAGGCAAGCTCAGCAAATTTGATTCGTTTGATGCTTTTTTTCGTTTGATTTTGCTATACAAAATCTATTATCACCTAATTTTCCTTCTCCACTTCTTAAATTTCAAGTCCAGGCAGTTATAGAAAATGAGATCAAAAGACTCAATGATACCAGTTATCAAAATCTATGTAAGATGATTTTTCCTTATAAGGAATATTAATGACCTTATGTCAACCTTTTCCAGTGCATTACATTTGTGACTATTTCATACCAGCCATTTCTCACACACACCATTCACTCACGCTATCTCATCAGTTATCCAGAACGTATAAGTGACTAAGAAGTGTGAATACATAAAGTAATAATAATAGTAGTATGAAATGAAACTGAAACGTTTGTGATTACATTCATAGGTAAATGTCAAGTGGCAAAACAAGTCTTTTCATACACAGAATAATTCATGGGATACATAGGTGTTGGAAGGGAGTCTAGAGTTATAGCATAAGTAGGCACATAAAACACGTCACATAACATGGTGTGAAATTTGATGACATAGAATCTCTACATTACCAGAATGACTATTGGGACAAGTGAAACTTTACCAAAGACAGTTCACAGTGAGAATAATAATGGTAACCATCAACGTAATAAGTGAAGGGTGTACAAATTGGATGAACAAAATGCAAGAGTCTGTTCGCTGAATCGCCTGTTTTGATTTTCTCCATGTCCCAATGGAGATATTCCATGAGTGCATAGTGTAAGATTGACTTTCCAGTTTATGAATTTTATTTTAAGATACTTAGTGTGTTGTCAATTAAAGTCGAACACTTAAGAGGAATTCAGCAGTAGCTGAACAAAATTTCTTTTGAATAACTTGATATGTGTTATTGATATACGCATCGTAAATTTGGTCACTACTTAATCTTGAACTATATTTTGTCTGATTGTAGTACTGGGAAGAAGCAGCTCTGTATCCGCTAAGATAGCGAGAGAGGAGTGGAGGGTTCTTAAAGGTACATCATACTCATCCTTGTATATATTTAGTACATAATGTCAATGATGTTTGCCTCATAATCGCTAGAAAGTGATTGGCTATCGACTATCAAGTCACGATAACATTCCAACGTTATTAAGTGTGTTAACAAATCGGATTCACTTTTGAAAAGCATTGAATCCCATACACGTTTATTTAGTGCCGACATCCACTCTTCATATCTGTCAGTCTTGTTTTTCAAAACATGAATTCAATGCATAGTTGAATCGAAATTCAAAACCATTTATTCATAATATATGCGTATAAGTTGTATGCAAAAAGCATTCTCTCTACTCTGTCATATGCCTTCAGGAAGTGATAGTGTCAGTGAAATAGTACTTTCGTGTTCTATTCAATCAACCAGCTACTTGATGACGGTCTAAATCAACTTGTACAAATTCAAAATTACTGCGTCATCGTAAAGACATAAATTAGCAACCACTTGTGCAGATATCAAAATCAGTCGGAATTATGCTTATTAATTTACTAAACTGCATATAAATACACATTATCATCTAACCCTCATCATTTGCTTCTTTCAGAAAAAATAAACGAGCAGCTCGCTAGTCAAAACAAGACACTTGACAACTGTAGGTTTTCATCGATATCGAAAGTTACACGAATCTTTTGTAGACGTCGTTTGTATATCTGGATTTGTGACATCGGATTACAATGCATCTGTCTATCGAGGTATAAATTTTTGAGGTGTTTCCATTTCACTGTATGATGTTGGTGAACGTGGTAAAATGTCATATCCTTGTTTTCGATTAGTTGACACATAGGTCAACGTTATTTTTATGCATTCGATTTGGAAATTTGAACGCCACTACAGTTACAGATGTACGAATTGACAGGTGGAAATACTTCTGAATCCACTGTCAATACAAAGAAGGGGATGGCTTGACGCTCATGAATGTCACTAATTATAGAAATAGGAATGTGTGTTTGTTAACACGTTGTTGAACAGCTGAACATGCTAGTGACTGACGGCCTGTGATAACTAACACAACGAGCATGTTCTGTTCACGGAATTAGAACAATATAAAATCTGATTTCTCATTTTCTTATTAGTATTATCTCGTGTCTGAGGAACTCGCAGTTTGCAGTCAACTTTCATTAGCACACATTTTATTCAGTGTTTGATTTACTCAGACTCATTTGTTCGTGTTGTAACTGTGTGTTCTTACGAATATTTTAGATCTGCTGATCAAATTCGAAGAAATACAAAAAGAATATTGTGCGTCACAACATGCTATTCTGCTTTTCTTGTCGCTCAGTTATCTGTTTAATTTGACTGAGTTTACTTTTTGAATTCCGTTTGACTAAAGTCACATGTTGAAACTTTTTGAATGGGTATTTTCAGTGCACTCTACTCTATTTCACTAACACGATTTGGTTTATGTTTCTTACTCTTTCCTTCAGGGGAATACTTCAAAGGTTACAAGCAATTGGTTACAATGTATCAAAACAAATTAAACAGAAATGAAGGTGAGAAATGTGTTGTTTATTCTTTAATTTAAATTAATACAACCAATGAAATCAGTTGTTTTTCAGGTAATTACCAGTTGTTAATAAACCGGAATTTTCCCCTGTATAGCATGGCTAATATACGGAGGAGTTCAACGACTGACTGATATGCGTACTATATGGTTCGCACCGTGTTATATCGTCTATTAAAATATCGATACTGTCACACAAATCATCAACATACTGATAAGCGTGATACCATTGTATGGCGATAGGTAATACATGAGCACTCGATAAGACAACCGCCCTGAGTAAAATTTCGTAAAACAATAAAAGGTCGACACATATTGAGGATTATTCGGATTTCAAAATTCAATGTCTTCTGGAGAAATGTGAGAGAACATCACAGACTGATGAGACGCACAGTTTGTGAACGACGCATTATCTACAACATCAACTAACATGCCCTATATTTCTCTACATCCATCAAGCTTACATATTATAAATATTTCGAAGGCAGATATCACAGAAATAGTCTCAATCAAATTCTCCTTTGAATCCATAGGAGAACGTCTGCTTCCGAAGTACCAGAAGTGTGACAAACTTCTCCCTATTAAGAAGAATAAAGGTAATTCAATTTTAATAAATGTGTAGAACTAAGACACTCTGATAGTATATCATCCCACATTTATGTGTCTTTCAGACATATCACACAATGAAATAGTTTTATTCACTAGTTGGCATTTCGGAAACAATTATTTGCTCATAATCATGTCAACTGTGTTTGAAACGTGATATATCCAATAAAAGATTTAATATGGAAATTTAATTTTAATGCTGAGTTAACCAGCCAATTAAATATTTCACACAACTGATTTAACAATAATTCTGGACATCAACTTTCAAATGCTAATGGATCATTTTAGTGTGATTACGTAGGTAGCATGAGAAAAGAAGAAGTATTAGTTGAGGGAAAAAACTTCCTTAAAATCTCTGCTGTTAGAATCATTTCTAAATATTCATCAGGTCATTCCTGACTACATTAAACATTGAATCCATAAGATGATATAGTTTGATTTCTTCCTGTCGATGTGAACATTTGTTGAAATGAAGCTGTGACAAGCCGATGGAGTGAAAGGATCAGATAGTTAATTAACCACACAATGACGACGAATAAATGTTACACAGTCAGCTATATCATTGCTACTTTGATAGTGTTCACTCATGTTATCCACGAATTGATTTTGTGCTGAATTCACCACCAATATATTTTAGCAATCAGTGAAATCAGAGAACTGATATCTAAAGAAAGATTGAGTGCATCTATGTCTGAGAAGTATAATAGTAAGTTCAGTGAAACGAAATTTCTACTTTTCTTCTCCTCTAATCTCAGTAGACTGAAGTTTTCAAATCCTTTTATTAAGATTACTTTTCTCACAATAGAAATTAGTAAATATGTAGTGAGATATTTATCTCTTTAATTCAAAGTAGATGGCAATATATTCTTGTTTAACGAACAGATTATTTCGAATAATTGTTAGTCAACAACCACTTGCAATTGTCTGCAGATTTTACAATGATCGACACCTGTTGTGTGCGAGATGGCAATTCCACCAGGATGCACAGACATTCCTAGGTGGATCTCGACTCGAAACTGCGACTATGTAGTTCTTGGAGAGTAAACGAATACGAATTGAGAAAATGTCGAAGAGTTACGTTTGGGAGAACGTCTCTCCATTTAATGTAGGAAAGCAATCAGAATCCAGGTTATGCTCTATAGGTGTTTGTGACCATTCACAACGCTTTGTAAAGTGTATCACTGACTATTTAATTAAGTATTTCCAGATCTCCTTCAAGAGAAACTGGTTGGTCTGTTATTATTTTCTAAACACCAATAAGGATCAGTAGTTTCCGTCGTATTTCATTGACTGTGTCAATGTCACAATTTGTACTAACTATGAAAGACTAAATGTGGACTTACACACTAGTTGTAGGAGAAATCTTTATTCAATTTTATTTGTTAAATCTGTTTGAGAAGTTGTGATTTGAAGTGCAGCTCAGAACATTTGGTGACTTCCGTTGATATACTTGCGCATACCACTCTATAAAGTGAAATACAAAATTTTTGTCCTTGAATTATAGTTATCGGTAAAATTTATCACAATATTGCTCTATGGATGCATGTAAGTCAACCTCATCCGTAAAATGGATCACCTGTTTTCTGCGATTATGAAAATAATCATGATAATATGTAGTATGATTTCTATGCCTGTTGTGAATTATCATTGTGGATAATTAGTCTGAAATTGAATTCAATAATGAGACGAGATAACGACTGAGTGTTATTCACTGCATTAGTATTCTAAAAATACGCCACAATATATCGGATGGTGTGAATTAGAAAGATAAACAAACACCTCCTTAATTGAAAGCGTTGTTTGTATTTAACCACAATATGACTTCATAATGGAAACTTTTGCCTTCTCACAACTTAGGAAAACGTATGAAAGTAAATTATCACTTAACATTACAATTACTCATTCTGTTGCTTTTCTCTAATTATTTGTTATTATTTTACTTTAGAGAAAACTAGTTGCACCCAAAAAGTAAAATGGCGACAAATGAAGGAATATGGTCAACATAAAGAGGTTATTGTTGTCTTATTCGCCAACATCTCGACATATTCACTAACTGAGTCAAATGTTTGTTAATTGTACGACGTTTCTTATAAAAAATCGCTTCTCGAAGGCTTTCTCAAAACGCTGTTCATTTTTGCTTAAAATTTCACGTTTCTGTAGTTTTTCTTTAAATATAGTCAATGTAAAGTTAATGTTTTGTACAAATGTGTTGAACAACTTTGATAGCCTCAACCAGTCTGCTTTAATTTCGAAAACACTCAAACAAGCACATTTACTACCCACATGTAAAAACTGGTCTTCAGTATATTCGACGTACAACTTTCTTTGTTTGCGATAACAGCTGCTTACCCAACTGGTGTAGTATTCATGGTAAAGCATTCGACATACACACCGTCCTCTAGCAGTTGCATCATCTAATACGAAATGAATTTTTCGGAGGTCGGTTACAAGTATTCCGCGTAACGGACATGTGTAGTTTATTTCATGGGTAGATGGATAGATAGGTGGGTGGGTAGACAGGTAGATTCTAAACTTGCATTGCGAAACTCAGAGTGAATGAGAAATCTTTGGCTGTGAAGTATAGCACGATTTATTTTGATTAAGAGATTATTCAATTTCGCCGTCAGTCATCCTATCAAAGTAGCCAGCCATAGATGAGGTGACCTACATCCCACCACCTACGAAAATATTTGCAACTAAAGTGATCACGATTCATTTACTGAGTTTCATCAACATAGTTGACTCAGTTCCATTGCGAAATACTAAAGTGAATGAACACAAGATTAGAACCGTGTTTACAGACTGCATCAACTGAAAATGGAAAGAGTGAATAACCAGTGGAAAGAATAAATTAGACGGAATGCTAAAGATTTCATCAATGGAAGGAATTATGAAAGAATAGGGATTAATTCTCCTGAGAGACAAAGCAACACCTTTTTGGACAGCATGGTTGATTTTGTGAATCATGCTGGGATACATCGTCCTGTGTGGCGTTATATATTCCACAGGTGAGAAACGCTTCCACACTTCGAGTATTTCAGGAATTCTATGGCCACAGCTGACGGCACCTTAAACGGCATCGAAATGAATCTACGGGTAGAATAGAAAGGTCAAACTGGATTAACTTAATATTGACTACAAAAACTTGTAGGCGGTCCCTGGATGTCTAAGGCGTTTACATTTCTGTCCAAACGAGTACACATTCGACCAGAATTAAACGTCACTTTGTGTGTCTACTTGGTGTTAATAATACTGTCATCTGCAGAGTCCGTAGTCCAGCCATGCGAGCTCGATACGTCTGAAAATCATTCCCTCAAATAATCACAACTTCACGCTACTGAAATGTACTGTTCGTCAGAACAAACTGCTAAGTAACTGAGTCGTTTTGTGTAATGATTAGGCAGGTAGTTGAGAACATTGGCAATAATATGAATGATAAAGTATAGCATGTCGGCAACAGTCAGTCACCTATAACCGCTGCCTTCGAAAGGTTGAAGGCTGACCCTTGCAACATTTCATTTTTACACAGATTAATTCTCCGGGCCTCTGATGGAGCCTATCAGTCAAATGATTCAATGAAGTGAGCTTCACTTTGATTATATGTGATGAGCAAGGCTAGGGAACCTGTGAATGTCTGAGGTTTCAGACGTCACCTTCCATTACTTTCATCCGGCTCTAAGACCGCCCACAAATAGTCTCTGTCTTTCCCCAACGACCTCATTCCGCCCTCAGACATCCAACACGTAGCATCTGATCTGGGTTCCATGAAACAGCCTGAACGAGATGGTCAGAGTTTAAAAAGGTGTGAACTAAATCAAATAGTTTGTTCAATATTCGACTCCACTATCGTCGCCCCTAAACACTTTAGATTTATTCCTGACGCCCATGAGTCGTTTGTTTGGTTTATACGTTGAGCAGGATTCTTGAGCTAGTGTTTAGAAGCCCACAATATTATTGAACGTGAATTTCTGGAACGAGGCTCCAGTCTCTTAGGTAAGGACTGTTAACACCTTTACTGCGCCGGACGATTAAATGCTTTAGACCTGAATGTGATTGCCACATCTATGAGTTCCCATATACCGTAAGCCTAGAAACAAATTAAAAATTGGCTGGCAAATAGTGGAATAAGTAGATTGCTTGAACTGAGAAAAGTTGCCTGAAGGTGACCGTGTTACTGACCGGAGTAGGCCGAACGGACTTGCCTACCAGAGGTCAACAACAAAGGTGGGTTTCAACTTCGCTACCTTCAGAGTTGGTCACACATGGAATAACTAGCGGGTTGATATAGCCGCCTCTCTGTCATTCGACGACTTCAGAAGAAGGCTGGAATACTACAAAAAGACAGAGGGTCAACGTATAAGAGAAGTGTTTTAGCTCAGGGGCATTGACTCATGGGATGAGAATATTGCATGTCCATTATCTGAAGTGGCACTACATTTATTCGGTTGGTATTAGAGCGTTTCAATAAATAGGCTAAAATATGCCAGCATGGAAATTTTAAACCATTCGCCTAACGTTTGAGCGTAATGCCTTCTTTAATCCATTACATCGATCAGATATCAGTATGAAGCAACATTTTCTGATAAAAGTAAAGCAAATGTGAGTTAGTTCAAGAATATAATGCCACCGGCAATGTGTACATCATAAAAAGACTTTCTAATGCGAAATTTCATTTATAAAGCAAACAAAATTACAACTTATCACTAAACCACCTTGGCAACGGACTGTGACGCTAAAACTGGTGACGATATGTAGTAAAGTCACTCACTTGTCCTATATTTTTCCTTCGAATTTTGTTTTCTCACATATTCTCCACTTTCTTCTCCTCTTGTCTTACTCATTTCATGCACAATTCCTCCTTATTATCCACTCTGTTGCATACCTAATTTCCCAACAATAATCTCTACCTCGCATTTCCTGGGGTGCCTCCTGCTTGTCTGAGAGACTGTTTGAAGAAAGGATAACTGTAAGTTCTCGCATAAACCCGACGCTGAAACAACGCAAACATTCGCATCAAAATAAATTGACGATATTCTTCTAACTGTATTCATTGAAGCTATGGCAGTTAAGACGACAGGTATACACTGAAATCTGCCACACAGTTACACAAATTCTTCAACACAAACTAGAGGTTGCCAAGATTTCACTACTTTTTGCAAGCCAGTTATGGCGATATTGCATATCGAGTACTGAAACTGTGGTGCCAGCCTCTTAGGAGACATTTTTCTTTGTCATGGCCACGACTGAAATCAGGAGATGCAGAGTATCTCAAGAAGTGAACACTACAGTAAGGTTATCGCGGTTACATGCACTTCAGACCAAACAGATAACCTACGCTACATATGTGGTTCAAGTCATCACCACCGAAGAACGGTGATACACTGACTGTCTCAGATGTCTGAATAGTCATGTCATTCTCCACAAGCTTCGCACTTGATGTACCGTCCAAACCATCAAAATAAAGCGGATAAGACGTCATCAAACTAAAACCTTCAGTCTGTTGCTGACTAAAGGTTGCTAAATTCACATTTGTGGTTCCATAATCACTGAGTGTGACTCCGCCTTCAAGTATAAAATTCGAAAACGGTAGGTGCGACTAATTGTACCAAAGCCGTAATACGACTTCATATGGAACTATCCGTAACCGTCATTTCCGCAT